ACGTCTCTAGCCACTGCGTTACACCGTCTCTCGGACCCCAACCAGGGAGTCGTGAAGGACCAACACAAGCCAGCCCTTTGCAGCTTTCTTTCATACCACGACACCATGTCATACACTGACCACCTCTCCGCTTTTTCCAACCAGTCCCAGAGTCGGCAAATAATGCACGACGTGGAATTCTCTGGGACGACATTCGTAGAACATGTCCAGGCCACCGAAGTCGGTGTTTCAAGATGGTGACACCAATTTCATTATCGTCTCTGTGACCGAACGCACGATGCCGAACCTCTGCATTACTAACATGGTGTTGCCACTGGATGTGAGCAATCCTCCGGAGACAACGATGATCGAACACAGAGAGTCGTCTAACATCCTCAACTCGGAGAGGCAAGGTTTCACAAGCATAGAGCAAAACTGCTCTCACCGACGCGTTGTAGATCCGACCTTTTACAGCCAGACTAATATCACGAAGGCGTCAAACATGGCCCAGATCGGCACAAGCCGCTCTGGCTTTCACTATACGTGCATTGATCTCATCACTCACGCCACCACCAGCACTTATGTAGCTACCTAGATACACGAACTTCTCGACCACTTCTATCTGTTCACCGTCCAGAGTGAGTACAGGATTAGAATCCTGCCAGTCTTGTAGAAGTACTTTGCACTTCGAAGGTACAAAGCATATGCCATACCTACGAACACTGATTGTCAACTGATTAAGTGCGGATTGCATGACTTGGGCATTCTCGCACAGTAAGACAATATCATCCGCATACTCAAGGTCGAGAAGTCTTTCTCCAGGCAACAGTGTTTCGCCCACTAGAATCGTTGACTATGATGACGCTTGAGGAGGGGGCCGAAAGAGGAAGTTTAGTGTAGAACGTCAATGTAGGAGGAATAATAAGAATTGAAGAGGGAGGTTGATTATGAATACAGTGGTCTTGAGTGCTGTTAGAGGTATGAGGGCGGTTATCACTTCCCGGTTGCCCACACCGTGGAAGGGTTCTTATGGAGGTACCTGAAAAGGAAGTTGGATTAGGGTTGGTCATAGTGACCTGAGAGCGTGACCACAGTACCCAAGGGGCAGATGCTTGAGCCCGGTCACGCACGACCTTTTTATGAGTAGTTTTAGTGTTAGCTCCGTACTTGTTGAGACCTTACCGCCGGAGACGGATATCCGTGGGATAAGGCAAGGTGTGCATTTTTAGGGTCGAACTTTTCTAACCCTACCCCTCCTTGTGGGAAGGCAGCATCGCTGTCATGCTGGTTGTCTGAAGGAAACACCTTACTGCTGTCACACCTCTGTACAGTCAGCAGTACGACTTCGCCTTCGGACCTTGGTTTTGTTGGTTTTAGTCTTACCGCTCTTCAACCGACCTGTCTGGCATGGTAGGACCTTGAGGAACGGTTGTTCCGTCCGGTATAGCTCAGTTGCTTCATCACGATAGGCAAGCCCGACCATCACGTCAAGGTAGCAACAATGGTCGTGTAATTTAAACATCACCAGACGTGGTGGTTTGTCTATCACAAAAAGCTGATCGAGTTATATTGACTGGAACTTCTTCTTTCAGGCCCTAGAATGCCAAGTAATTCGGTTAGGAAACGGTAAGACTAAAAGCGGCAACTTGCGGTCCAAGGACGAAGTTGTACTGCTGATTGTTCAAAGATATCACAGAACTAAGGTGTTCCCTTCAGACAGCCGGTATTTGCAGCTTTTTCACAGGGGGGAAAGTGATTTGGAAAAGATGAGCCTTAAAAATTTCACACCCTACCTTACTCCACGGATTTCCGTCTCCTGTGGTAAGGTCTTCTGAAACACGGAGCTAAAAAATTATAAACTTCACAGAAAAACCGTGCGTGACCGGCCTCAAACAGTTGTCCACTAAGTCCACGCTCCCAGGTCAGTACTACTACCAACCCAATCTCTTCCTCAATTCTCTCAAGTAGAAACATCGTTCCATGGTATGGGCAATCAGGAAGTGATAACCGCCATTAGAGATATTTTCGACCAAAGCTCTTCGTCACTTCTCACTTTCTTCTATCACCACTGTCAACTCTTCTATGACTTTATCCTCATACGTCACCAACACTGTTTGAGTCTCTTAACACCGCGAACTACACAAAATGTTAGGACTTTATTTCAAACAGACTAACAATATTCCTTAGCTAGGATTCAAGAGTTTATTTATTTATTTATTTTAACACATAGATATTGGTACAAGGAGGCACCAAGTACATATGCGCCACACGAATCTCAATTGATTTGTGTGAAGGCTGTGATACTGCCCGAGTGCCCAAACCGAAGCAGGTGGTTTTCTTAGGGGGCCACACCCCGAGCCTTCGACCTGAACGTCTGACCCACAAGGCAGTGGAGCATCGTAAGGAGATGCAGTCCCATGGTAGCCAGTGACCAACGATTGGTTCATACGCCATTTGTTCCTTCAGGATACTGGAGTCAGCTCATGTGCACCATTGGTTTGGGGTCCGGTTAAAGCGCCGGACATTCGCTTTTCGTCCTGTCATTTTCGTAAACAACACCCCGACCACGAGAAGGCAGTGAGTAGGACTTCCCTGGCAGAGGCTATATACGCGTGGCCATGTGAGAGCATTTCGAGAGGGAGAGCGGACTCTTCCCACTCTCGGCCATACCAGGGCATTTGAGTTCCCCGGTGCACGTACAGCACTAAGTTATAAAGCGGAATAAGGCTTTCTAAACTGAATTTCCATAGACAGTAGCTTTTGCGTTGCCAGACTATATGGGGAAGTATGAACAAGGAAAGATAAAGAAACACACATTTGGCTCTTTATCATCTATTCTTATGCTTTCACTGAAGTTCGGACGAAATAAAAAATGTTTTACATAAAGCTTTTTAATCTGAAAATACCGAACGCTTAGACGTAATTGTGACAGGAGACTTTAACACCCAAGTAGATAGTTCAAACCAGTGAAAAATACTTAGATGGGACCTAAGGTGTTCCACCTCAACAAGCAAATACCTAAGACAAGTATTAGGTATGCCCTTCTGCTGATTACCTCCACAGGTAATTATGGATTGTAGGAAAAGGCTGGGAGAAAACAACGGGCCGCCAAACCAAAAAACTATACCAGTCCATAAAGACCCTGACTGTTGGACTGAGCCATACAAGCAAATGTAGACTACTCAGTTGGAATACGCGCGATTATCGTAATCCATGAATGAAGATTATAGGTGACATGGCTCAGAACTGTTCACAATCGCGCAGCAGTATCCTATTTGTCTTTCCTTAGATCTGTATTTTCGAAACTAACAAAAACTTTTTATTCCACTACTCTATATTTTCTACTAGAATCGTACCTTCGATGCCTAATGTCTCGTAACACTACTAACGCTGTTACTAACTGTACTACTCTGGGATTTATTTTGAGTTTCATTTTGCTGAGCTGATGAGATGTAGCAACTTGAACCTGTGTAAGTTTTCAGCTTCCACGTTGAATATGATAGAATCATCATTTTACCTTACACAGGAATTTTGTATTTATAGCATTTGATAAGACTATTTTGAAGCAAGACCACAATCTTATAAATTGGCATGCACTTGTATTTAAAAGTTCGGGTACAATATGAATTTTCTGAATGTTCTCAACACTAAAGATTAATCAACAAAGACAACTTAGTTAGAAGTATCCAAAAAGTAGAATGAACTAAAATGATATCCTATATAGGTTACTTTCTTCAGAACAAATTATACTTATTTTGTTATACTAGTTGGTACCGAAATATAGAAAGACCACAGATAACAAGCAAATGTAAGTACAAAGCGTTCATTGACCACAAATTATAGTTTGTCTTACACCTCAAATGCTTGAAGGTAGGGTTATAAGTAAACGGGGTGAAAATTCTCCTTTAACTAACTGATAAACATTCTGAAACCATAATTCGAGGACTAATGGGTGTGAAAAGGTTTTGATTAACACTGCGCACATCAGCAGAGAGACAAATTAGGACAATATAAGTACATAAACAGATACATAGTAATAAATTGTTAAGCGACTGCAACATAGAAAACATTCAAGTTTATAAGGAACTTCGACTGGAAAGGAAAGTGGCTGGGTTGTAGAAGCAGTTTGGAGATACAGTATTTTGAAAATATTACAAGATCTAAAGCTTTTATTTAAAGGAGCAAATGGTACACTCATGTACTAAGACGTTATTTGTCCCGAATAATACTTATTTCTTATGTTCCTGAAAGTCGAAAAAGTGAACAATCAGAAAGCATTATTTCAGATTATATAGCATGAAGATATTAGTCTGTAATCCTCTTGATGTCTTGTGAGTAGTGCGGGAGAATAACAGAGCGAAATTTATTCACCCATAAACCTAATTAGCATTTCGACAACTTAATTAATATCAATCGACAATCAGAACCCTAATTACAAATTCTAACCATAACTGTGAATCCGATTCTTACTTTCTCGCACCGATTGTTACCAACCATTTAGCCTTAGCAAGCTGGCTCACTCACCTTATCTATTATGCGTCATTCCGATATAATTTGCTTGCTTTTTTTCGCTGTCTTCATTTCGTTACTCCCATTGTCTGCCCAAATCAATAAAATGGTGAAATATAAATATTTATGGTCCATTCTTGCACTTGACTTATTTTTATTTCGTATTCACTAACGCAGACTACGTCAATAATTATATACGATTAAAGGAGATATGTATATGTCGATGTCGATCAGCATACAACCAAACAGGAGCCAGACACAGGGTCACTAAATCCTCAAAAACACCTAAACATCGCCGAAATTTCCCCTAATAAACAATGATGTTACTTTGTTGCCTTCAGAAAAATGAAATTTTTTGACCTATGAGTAGTAAAAGTCGATGAATAAGTGACGGAGAGGCATTTATAGCCTCTAAGACCTTTTAATCAAAGATTTTCACAGTAATCCGTCCCATGAATTCTTATGTATCATTTTGATTAATAAGAGAACCCCATTCTTTCAGTCACATTTACCTCGCATCTGCCGACCTAGAGTCATATATGCCGCCAAATTATCAAACACAAAGGTTCAATAAACAATTAATTCTTTGTGCTCGCTGTATGTTGTTTCAGTTCGTGTTCAGGTCTTTAATTTGTTAAAACGATTGGTTTTAATAAGTGGTAACGAACCATGTGCACACTACTTTTCTACTCACACTATAATTCAATTGTGATGGCTGAATATCAAATTCAGAAGTTCACCGTTTTTATTCCACAAACTGGTTCATCTATGAAATTCTAATTTTTCGTTATCTTTCTAAGGTCTTAATTCTTTTATTGCAGAAGAAATGTGATTTTAAGCGTAAACGGTCAGCAATTCGTGTGTGTGGAATAATTACGAGTTTGTATTACGTTTACAGTTTCCTCGCACCTTTTTTAGAGTTTGTTTTTTTCTCGACAACAAAAAGTTCACTATTATGTTAGGTGTTTAAAAAGTTAAAAAAAGAATGAACGTGGCGTTCAAAATACTTTAGATATATTACATAAATTCCTGATGCTGGCAATCAAAAAACTACGGTGAAGTTTCCAGACGTTTTATTCAGGATTCTGTAGTGACCTACTTTTGTCAACAGAACGCGATTGGATCGATGAAAACAATTATTATTATAACTAATTGTACCAGTGACTGTTTTACTGTGCTCGTTTGTTTAACTGTGCTCATAACAGCCATTTTAGTCTTCCATTGTATTCCATTGCTTTTACGCGGTTTTTGGACTACGCACGTATCTTATCTTGCCGATCGCAACTGTACTCCTTTGGCACGATCTCGGTATTCTTTCGATACCACGAGATCGCCAACAAATACATCTCGACTACAGCCATCATCTGTCTTCTGATATTGGCCTACGGGGATCTTATTGGTTAATTGGCACGTAGTCTTGTAGCGGTGTTCATAGTCAAGCTCAACTCGACACCACGCTACATTTGGTGAGCCAAATATTGGAACACGCCTCAACCTCGGTCAAATCTTTCAAAGAAGGCAATTCGGTGAGTCTATTGTTTTATCTATCCACGTCTGTCATATATTTTCATATTAACTTTTAATATATATATTTGACATGACAGATAACGATAAGAATAGTATTAATATAATAGACTCCGATTTACGCGTACCGAATCCTCGGCACTTTTTATTCGCGTGACGATAAATTCCACGCCTTATTCGAAAAATTCCCCAGAATAACTAGACCACTCGAGGAGATTTCATCGGTGACCAATCGTGTGGTACACCACATAGTCACCCGCGGACCACCAGTCACGGCAAGACCACGCCGACTGGCATCGGACAAATTAGCTTTCGCTAAACGTGAGTTTGACAATTTACTATCTGCTGGTATTATTCGTCCTTCTCACAGTCCTTGGGCCTCTCCTTTACACATGGTGCGCAAAAAGGATGGGGTTAGTTGGAGACCTTGCGGCGACTACCGAGCATTAAACGTAGTTACGCGCTTTGATAGCTACCCCATCCCCCACATACACGACATCACGGCATCGCTCAAGGGCACGACTATCTTTTCTAAAATCGATCTGGTACGAGCATATCACCAGATCCCAGTCGCTCTTGAAGACATCGAAAAAACTGCTATCACGACTCCGTTCGGTCTGTTTGAGTTCCTACGAATGCCATTTGGATTACGGAATGCTGCTCAAACTTTCCAAAGGTTTATCGATAGCATAGTACGAGACTTGGATTTTGTTCACGTCTATATTGATGACCTGCTGATCGCATCATCAAACGTAGATGAACATTATCAACACCTTACGCTATTATTCCAACGTCTTTCGGATAATGGAATAGTAGTCAACCCAGAGAAACGTGAATTGGGTAAATCAGAAATAATATTTCTGGGTCACATCATCGAACAAGAGGGTATTCTGCCTTGCGAGGACAAAGTTAGAGCAATCAAGGATTACAACGTGCCGTCCTCAATCAAGGAACTGAAGGCTTTTCTCGGTTTGGTTAACTTCTACCAACTTTTTATCCCTCACGCGGCAGAACGATTACGACCATTAACCGATTTACTACGCGGTAATCCACGCAAATTAGAATTGAACGATACCGCACGTACTGCATTCTCAGAGATCAAAACGGCCCTCGCTGAAGTTACACTCCTCGCTCATCCTGACCCATCAGCCACGCTTAGTATAGCGGTTGATGCATCAGATTTCGCTATAGGAGCCGTTATGCAACAGAACATCTCCGGTAGTTGGCAACCCCTTGAATTTTTCTCACGACGCCTTACTCCCACGGAGACGAAATATAGCGCTTTTTGTCGAGAGCTGCTTGCAGCCTACTGCGCCATCAAACATTTCCGGCACGCAGTAAAAGGACATCAATTCATTTTATTCACCGACCATAAGCCCTTAACGTATGCCCTGCATACCAAGTCTGACCGCTACTCACCACGAGAGTGCAGACATTTGGACTATATCTCCCAGTTCACAATAGACCTTCGTCACATTAAAGGCGAGTCGAACTATGTTGCCGATGCTCTATCACGTATCCAGACGAATGCAGTTACCTTACCGGTGCTCGATCATCCTGCTATGGCCGCCGCGCAAGCAAACGATCCTGTCTGTACAGAAACACCACAATCTTCGTCCCTTCAGTGTCAGGAAGTACCCCTAGCTACTAGCTCAGGTACTATCCTATGTGATATTTCTACTGGTCTTCCTCGACCTATCGTACCCTCTGCCTATCGCCGTCTCGTCTTCGATGCCCTTCATGGATTGTCTCATCCAGGTATCGCAGCCACATTACGCCTCATCGCTGCACGATACGTCTGGCCGTCCATGAATAAAGATGTTCGTATGTGGGTAAAGCAATGCTTACAGTGTCAACGATCAAACGTGCACAGGCACGTAGCTGCCCCCATTGGCACGTTCGCTACGCCTGATGCTCGCTTTGATCACGTTCATATAGACATTGTAGGACCATTGCCACCATCGCATGGGTATGATCACATACTCACGTGCATTGACCGTTTTACAAGATGGCCCGAAGCTATTCCCATCACGTCTATCACGGCGGAGACAGTTGCTCACCGCTTCGTAGAACGATGGATAGCATTGAACGGTTGTCCCTCGACTGTCACGACTGACCGAGGACAACAATTTGAGTCCGCATTATTCTCCTCACTGACCCGGCTGCTTGGTACGGAACGCATACGCACTACCGCCTACCATCCAGCATCGAATGGTTTAGTCGAAAGGTTTCATCGCCAACTTAAAAGTGCTCTCCGAGCACACGAAAACGACCATTGGTACGAAACCTTACCGCTCGTTCTCTTAGGCATCAGAACGAGTTTGAAGGCAGATATCCAATGTTCCGCCGCTGAACTTGTATACGGCACGACATTGCGTCTGCCTGGGGAATTCTTCACACCACGGAGCAGTAATGATTTCGGTAAATCAGACTACGTCCATCGACTGTCTGCATTTATGCGAACGCTGTCTCCGGTGTCAACTCGAATACAACATCGACAGGTCGCTCTCCTGTTCACATGTTTTCGCACGAGTAGATTCGGTACGCAAACCTTTGCAACAGCCTTACGAAGGACCTTTTCATGTGATCTCTCGTCACGAAAAGACCTTCAAGGTTGATCGATTTGGCCGCGTCGAGATCGTCAGCGTTGATCGTCTCAAATCAGCACACGTCGATGACAGTGCCCTACCCGATAACTTGAGACTCAATGCTAGACCTATCAAACCTTCTGGCGGGATCTCTACGTCTACCTCGGATCCCACGCTAGATACATCAGAGACCTCGTTCTCAGGTCCCGGTCAACAGCACGCGTCATCTGCACCATCTACGGACGAGACTTCCGTCGCACGTCCAGATCGGCACACCACGCCGCCCTTGACCTCGGATGAGATCGCAGGCTCACGAAGTACGAACGAGACTACCGTCTCACGTTCCGGTCGCCGAGTACGATTACCCGTACGCTTTCGCGACTAAACGCACAGTCAATATTGCAAACGGTGTGGGACAATTCCTATACTACACGCATGCTACACTTTTCTTTTTTTTATTTTTTTTGTATCCTGAGCTCACACCTCCGACCATCGCCCGTTTAGTAACGTCGACTTCAGTCAACTTTGGCAAAAGCTGGTTTGGCCACCCACGCTCTAGTCAACGCACTCAGTCGATTATCTGGTCTCGAATTCGCCTGGCATACGCTTGGTTGTTATGGTCGCTTCCGGTTTCTTAGCTCAACATGGTTTCGTCCTACGTCTGCAGCGTTTTCTGGTCCGCATTCCTACGAACGCAATCATCAGATCCTGGATACAAACCACTCTGGTGTGGTATGCTAACTCGACCAACAAATACAGCACACTTCTCCTGGTACCGTTCTGCGCAAAAGACTTTCGTTGGCAACTCGAGGATCAATGATCACTTCCTGTTCCGCCAATTTCCTCCGTCCTACAACCGCAATTCTGCCGATCAGTCCCACGAATCAAACCGCTAACTATCGAAAGTGTAAACCCTTTCTAGCGGGGGGCTCCTGTAGTGACCTACTTTTGTCAACAGAACGCGATTGGATCGATGAAAACAATTATTATTATAACTAATTGTACCAGTGACTGTTTTACTGTGCTCGTTTGTTTAACTGTGCTCATAACAGCCATTTTAGTCTTCCATTGTATTCCATTGCTTTTACGCGGTTTTTGGACTACGCACGTATCTTATCTTGCCGATCGCAACTGTACTCCTTTGGCACGATCTCGGTATTCTTTCGATACCACGAGATTGCCAACAAATATATACGACTACTACAATCATCTGCCTTCTGATATTTTGGCCTACCGGAATTTTATTGGTCTATTGGCACGTAGTCTGGTAGCGGTGTTCATAGTCAAGCTCAACTCGACACCACGCTACAATTCCATCAAACTCGATACAAATGAATGCTGACAGTTTTTGAAATATATAAAGAAAGTTTTAAGAATTTTCTGTTCAACACTAATCACAGTAATAATCTCAACTGATACATATATTGTTTATTCATTTGTGGTAGTACATAATTTAGTTTTTTTTGTCCCAACATTTCTGCTTTTGCTCAACTTGTGCTGGTGAAATAATTTCAATGTGGCTGTTATGAACGTACGATTTTTGAAGTTTTGACCTTAAAATCACATAATTCAAAGTGGCTTTAACAGGTAAGTGTAAATTCATTTTAAGTGTTCAATAATCCATATATTAAAAGATGAAGTATTATGCATGGTAACAATGTAAGTGTACTGATCTCGTACGTTTTGCTGATTTAATTGCATTATACATACGTTCCGCATGTGAAGTTTTCGCCTTCTAGCTTTCCATTTAACGAATACATTCATAACAACATATCACACAATTATTTGGTCTAATGATTTACTACTGGTGTAGAATGGATGTTATAGTAGCTCTAGTAAGCAACACAAGACAAGTGTTATTAACCGTCAAGGAGACTATTAACGATGTCACTTCATATGACAATTGACAGGGAACTTGAACAAAACACAATTAGGAGTTGAGTTGGCCGAAAGTATTTTCTTGTACATATGTATATGAAAATCTCTTATCCCTCCCCCATAGAAAATTTTTTATGTTTATTTCTGTAAGCAATCCTTCTGTCTCCTAATATATTACGTCTATTTTCTTGATCCATTTTTGATTGTTATGTTATAATGATTTTTACAGATTCTGAAATCGACAAATCTCTTAGGTTTGTGGAGTTCCTTGACAGCTATTTCATCTCTGCTTTACTAAGCAATTAGTTTGAGCGATTACCATACGAAATTATCGTCATACGATTGTTGTCAAATGAACTGATTTCTGTAATTTATAACTGAAAGTGGAACACTTTCCTTTTTTAAGAGGGTTCACAGTCAATAACTTGTAATTCTAAGCGAAATCCTTGCTTTTCTTATATGATTCTCATTTTATAATTGATCGCTCATGTTTGAAGCAATTTGAATGTACATGTTTCTTTCCTTTTCACAGAATATTAACTACTGGCTCACAGAAACATTTTTCGTATTTTGACGATTGTGTTTTAATGAGTGTTATTTAATTGGTTTTTTCTTTTATGAGAAATGATTGTTTATGTATAATAGTTTTGTTTGTATCAACGTATCTTCTAATAGCACCTCATGTTTACCTACTTGCATGTTATTACAAGGAAATCGCCAGTCATTATAGAAATTTTGATCTATTCAAACTCGGAAGTAAGTCACTGATTGAATTAACAGGACAGATATACTTGCCTCCAGTTATTTCCCACACTACTATCATTCAAAATGCCTGAAAGAAACCTATAAAACGTGGCAACTTGTAGTTGTTTTTGATGTGCAGAAGTGAAGCTCATACTCGCAGAACGAAAGAATGTAGAAAAATACCTAAAGACCATCTTTCAAAAGAACGGATACCCAATCATCAAAATCGTCCACCTGAGCCACATATCCTTTCCACCATCTCAGTATGGGTTCTACAAGGTAACTAGGTTCAACAGAGTTTTAGAAATTCAATTGTTTTTTTGAGAATTTGTCTTAATAATTACCGAAAAGTCTGACACAACCCTTTCCTGTATTACCGAATCTAACGTGGTAAATAAACCTTTATGTACAGATAATATTTTTGTCTGATTACTTTAATGACATCACTAATCCTATTTCTCCGTTCTCGATATCACTTCTTACAGGAAGTTTTCGATACTACAATCCACTATATTCTTATAACATTGGTTAGTAATTAGCAATCAGGGTTTAAGACTTATCTCTTTCTGCTGAAGATTCTTTGATCGATATAAACTGATTTCCAATTATCAGTATTCTCTACTCTAATAGTTATTGCATCAAGCGTCTGTAAATAACGTTAATCATTTTCAGCATGCCTTGGGTAACAGTAGGGTTTCTAGTTATGTTTGTTGTGGTACGCAACAAAAACTGGAGGTCATCAACCATTTCCACTTTGTACTAAATATATAACCTAATTTTAGTAGTTATCCACTGGAAACAGTGTTTCCTTTGAGAAATGTTGAAAATTTATAACGCAACTCTGTTGTTTGAAATAGTCTTTTAAACTATATTGATAAGATATTTATGAACTTAAATATAAATAACAAAATCCCACTTGAAAGAGATTACGTGATCTCTTAGTTGTGTGAAGTCTATGTATGACAAGTGTGCAGGGAATGTGCAAGGAAATAAATATTATCAGTTTTATAAAATATGTATAAATCAAGTTTACTGCAAGAATGATTTCAATTGCTCTTGAACTTGCTTTTTGATAACGTCGTCATCACACAAAGCTAGTTTTGATTGTACACAAAAGATATACTGCATTTTACATTCTGCATCTTCTTTGCATTCCTTTAGTTTATCTTGGATATCTTTTGTTTCTTGGGTAAGAATAACATTGAAATCCAAGTGAAAATTATGTAAATAAGTTACAAAAAACGAAACAATATCTCTACTGAGTCTGATATTTAGTTTATCAGAGTTACTGATCACATAGTTAGATTATACACATGAGTAGTGAAAGCCCAGGTGTACGGAATTACGTCTTTATGTTGAAGTGATCAATTTTTCTATACATATAAAACGTAACTCCACTAGTAATGAAGATATGTACAAAATGATAAGTATGAATTATATATATATATATATATATATATATATATATATATATATATGTATATATATATACCATTTTTGGTCGGTATGACAGTTTCTACATATTTGCGTTTTTATGACCAGTCTACGAAAATCTTCTGCAGTAAACTGATTTACATTTCTGGATACATACAGGTTCATACAGATAAAGTTGTGTGGAAAGCAAATAACCAAACAAAAAAAAACAATTGTAAATTGTATCAATAATAACTTGCCATAAGTAATAATTTATCAAGGTGGATTTTTAGTATGTCCATTTATTTTTCATTAGTCATAACTCAACAAGGGAAAATAAATGGTAACCAAGGGATACTCCCTGAAAGGCTACACTGCACAGAACAACAAATTGACAAAGACTTCGAACTGGTCAAAATAACTTTATCTTTGCGACGGCTCTCTTGGCCCTCAATTCATTATTTGCACGCTTAATCTTAATTCTAAGGCTCAAAATGTACAATTAGTATTTTTAGTATACTCAGTTAATAAGATCTTGAATAAACAAAGGTAGAGAAAATATATCTTTTGTATGAATTGTTTTATAGACGAACTTACGATCTCGGAATTTTTCCATTATACAGTTGGGAAGATTAATCAGCATTTGTACACATTCATCAAATTCTATTGCCACAGTAAGGGAATGATATAAAATCATTGACAAAATTAGAATAAATCTTAACATTATTCCTTGAATCGCAACCCGTAAGGTCAAAATAGATAAAAACAATGTTTATTATCTTTCACTACTCTTTATATGAGAGCTATAACCAATCAGAAATCCATCGTTTAAATAGACAAATCACAAAATGGTTGAGGTCAAATCATAAAATGGCTAAAACTTTAACAGCCTCATCAAAGAAAATGACGATTACTTACACCCTAAAAGTCGTCTTATAATCGAAATACTAGGCATTTGAAAACTGATAATAATACTAGTAAAAATTCAGGATCTCACTGATATTAATACACGTTTATTTATTGTTTTCAATTGTAAGGAGTTAGTAGATATTCAGTGCATTGGTAAAAGCCCCAGCTAACTGAATAGAAAAATGAAGTACGTAACATCTGAGGCATAAGGGGAAGAAATCAAAGTCCAGTAGATAAACTACAATCTTGCACAAAAAGCTATCTATATATACCATAATTATCACTCCGATTAAGAATTTCCTCCTTATTTTGTATTGAACTTCCCCAGTTAGTTATTTCGCTTTGAATTTACCTAGTTGAAGTGTATCGATAATTTGTTTCGATTTGGTAATTCCGCGTTTCGAACATATGAAACTGTGAATAAAACGAACTCATTTATATTCAAAAATGCTACTATTCCTGTCTAGAGAAAACTCATGGATTGTAACTGACTTAATTTTGGCAGTATAAGTTGTTGTAGAAACCCATTTCATAAATGGTAGATTCAAAGAAATAGGTTACCCTTCTATTATTTTGAACCCTGGGTTGAACATCAACCGTATTGTTGGGGTGATCTAGAAAACTTCTCGGTAAAAGCTCAGGAGACACTAAGAAGCATTTTATCTAATCAGCGTTCACTTGAAGTTTAGCCAGAAACACCAAGAAAGCGAAAAGTCACATGTAGAGCTTTTGATTGACTGATTACTATACCGCTACTATGTTGAGTAGCATTCCAGAATTTTCGGGAAAACCCAAGGATATTTAAAATACTATAAAAACTATACTTTCTGTGCTAAAACGTGCCTTTGGAGTAAAGTGCTTCTCGCATATTTTGCGCCTTTTCTCTCGTGTTTAGGTCGCTGTGTAGTCCTAGCCTGAGGGTCACGAGAATAGCTTAGGAACCGAATGTAGCGTTGAGTTAGCAAGACTTATCACCTATGATCTAGGCACATTCAGCTGGTCAGTCGCAAATAAGATGAAACGCGAGTCCTGTATTCCATAATTAGCCACCATCTAACTCTGCCTAAAATACATGTGTCATAATTGGGATATCACGGCAATCAGCACAGAATACAAGTATGCCAGGAGACAGATCAATTAATGTACAAAACATTAATCAGAAAATTGAAAACACTAATACAAATGTAATGTGTTTACAACTGATTGATCACTGAATAGTTACTAATGTTATGTATATTAAGTCCTTCTTTAATGTTGATCAATTCCTAACAGTCAAACTCCAATGTGACAACTTACCTGAGTGGATCGATATCGAGAGGTTGCTATTTTATCAGTAGAAGTACAACGGTGATTCAAAATTCATTTAGTACCCTACTGCCACAAAGCTGATATAAACCGCAACAACTAAAAGATTTAACCGTGAAGATCAAACAAAACTACCAATCAATAGTTCCTACCGTTCGCAAATAGGCATATCAGTTATACAGTCTAGTTAATTCAACTTTGGGATTCAAAGTGCTCAAATGACAAATTTCAATGAAATAATTCTTGTAATTGAGTCATATACTCGATTCATCTTTAATACTTTGTTCATAATTTTAAATAATTACTAACATACAAAAGTTGCATTGATATTATAAGTAGCTTTATACGAACACGACTATATTTATCGGAATTAAATTAAAACTTAAACAATAAGTCCGGAAATTAATTTGTCTGTCATTTGAATAGAATCATCAAAATCTGTATAAGTAAACAATAATATACAGATCAGTATTTAGATGATTGAATTCCCTTGACAACTATGAGAAAATATTTTAACTAGTTGATTAAAGTAAATAACAAAACAAAACAAAATAAACAAGACAAATGTTCAGCATGCAATAATACTTTTTTTTGTTGTTATATAAAATAAACAAACTTTACAATTATTATAAATTAAAATGACTAAATACATAGATAATTTTACATATATGTCTTATATTATACGAAGCTAACTTCTAATGTTTCATTAAGAATAATGCATTCAATTTAAGTTTAAATAGTAATCCAAATATAGATTTCCATGTAAATTTATAGTTTTACTCATAGTAATAATAATATGTTTCCAAAGATACTACTACTACTCTGATTACTACTACTGATAATGATAATATTTATAACGATAATAATTATGATAAACATCATTTTAAATAATTCAAGTTGATGAACAAGATTGTACACTACAATGATGAAATATCCTTCTGAAGATTTCGTTTCGTATTTTTTTTAAAGGATATTTTAAACAATGTTCACACGGAGAAATATGGAAGAAAAACGTTTTTTTGTTTTGTTTTCTTTTTTTCTTCTGGTTTTACACACAAATATTGAATGTTGACACTTTTGAAAATTATTTATTACCTAAAACATTAGCGTTGAATTCTTTTGTTTAATTACGTTTCTCTATATTAGAAAAAAAGAGTTTATAACCTATAGAACAAGATTATGAAAGTTGTGCTGGATTTTCTGTAATTGTAAAAGTTTCACCATCAATACATTTTGTTGTTATCATAGTATTACTAATGATACTATTGTTTAAGTGTTCATTTTCTCTAAATGATGACAATGTAGGTTGTACAAGAATAGATTTTGGAATAACAAGACCAGTATTTATTTGGTTATAATATGAAGATATTGTAGGAGTTTGTCTAGTTTGATAGTCATGATATTCAGGTAATCCAATATTGATTCTTGTTGTTGGTAAAGAAGTTTTTGTTGATGTTATCATTTGGTTATGTATTGGTTCTATTGGTGCATAGAAATAACCAGTTAAGTATAAATTCCCTAGATTTTCGTTGTTATTCTCATTTCTGTTATCAGGTGTAATATTAATTAGATTAGTTTTACAATCACCTAAAACATTGGAATTTTGTTCAGCAAATGAATCAAACGTAAATTTGTCTTTCAGTAATGTTGAAGTTGTTGACGGGTTACTTGTGACTGATGTTGGTGACGGTGTATTGGATAGTAAATATACACTTGTCGATATATCATGACATGGGGTGTTTAAATGACGTATTTTCGTTGACTTTCGACCAACTGATCTGTTAAATCTGGTATTAGTTGGTATAACTTGAGTAGATGGTAGATATTCGTATCGTGTATCTGTTGATGCTTGTGCTATAATATCTGATTTATTACACCAGATAGGTTCTTTTTCATCAATTAAACTCCATGAATGTTTACTTAACGGTTCGCTAGTAGTTAAACAAGTTTGTTGACTTTCATAAGGCAGATGACCCTTACAATGATTAGGAATAGTTTTCATGTAATTTTTCTTTGTTAACTTAGCAATATCATCTTCATCATATGACCAACGATGACATCTACACGACCAAAATAATATAACTGTTATTAAACTGCCAGTTAATAATCCACATATTACTACAAGTATCAAATGTGTAAGAGTGTAACCGTCAGCTTGAGTAGTATAATGAATTCTTGATTTATAGTAACTGGCTAGATCATATAAAAAGAAACAAAATGATTAATTAATGAAAACTTAAGAGATTTAATAATGAACAGTCAATAAACATTAATGAAAATTTCATTATATTCCAGTTGTTTAGACAATTGAAATAACGACGTTAGATAAATCTTGGTTCATTTTGTAATATTCTTTTAGAAGGATATTAAATTTTAATATTTTTTTTTGGAATAACTTCGTTCATTCCCTGAATGAACACAGATCTAAATTTAGTTCTTTCCAATTGAGAACATTTCACAGATTTTATTATAGACTAGCATTTGTTTCAGACAATTTAACTAAATGTGCGCTTAGGTTATTATTATTATTATTATACGATTATTATTGATACGATATACAATTCTCAGCACAAGGTATTTTAATAAGTTTCGGAAGAGTGGTGGTGGAATAGAAATCCTACGCCAATTTTAACCATTAAATCTATTTTGGTAATGTATATTTGTGAATTGAGTCCACAGTTTGCCATTCAGCTTCAAATTTAAATTATATGTACTTAAAAATTACAACGATTCCATGTAAATCAAAATTCTGCGAATCTCTGATGGTAATAATAACAATACCCTCCCTCATTTTGTCACTAAATAATCCCTTAAAAATAAAATCAGTATATAACTTTCCATGTCGGGTGTGAGGTAGTAACCCACTGAGAACAATGAAAGATGACCACTCGACATCGTGGATTGATTGAGGTTAGACAGTGACATTGTTGGATACCGACTCAGCTGTCTAGAGGTTTAGGATTTACGTTTGAGATTGAGAGTCCAGGGTTTGATTCCTGCTTGTGGGATCGCGAATGAGCACTCATGAGGCGTCTCGTTCTATAAGGTAACGACCGTCCATCAGTCATACGTTTACAATGGTGGTTCAGTTTAGATCGGTTTATGATTTCAATGAAACAACATACAACTATTTAATTGGACGTTTATGTTATTTTTGTAAGTAACTAAATGAACTAGTTGTTTAATTACCTGATTTCGGTATAACATTGGATTTTCTAAACCAGCTGTCATCGTCCAAACAAGATCGTTGTTCGATACTGCTTCCCGAACAAACTGCATTGGATCGACATTGCCTTTTCCGTATTTGAATATTAGTAGTTGGATCACAGTCGCTCCATATAGACCAAGGAAGCCAATTTTGATCGAAACCTTCAGGCAAATGAAAACTTTTACAGTTAACTTAGTATTGAGTATAGGTTAAAAATATGTAAATGCTTGTAATATTTTTGAATTTTGTTTCAATAAATAACAGACTTACTATCCTCTTTATGAACAATTAGTGCTCGTAAAGGCACCCGAATACCATTAAATTAAATGACTTTGGTCTGCCTATGCCGTTCTATATGGTAAAAACAGACAACTATTTACAGTTGTTTAACCGAACATGATAAGTAAGCAATCATTTCCAAATGAATTAGTTCATTCACAATTAAGATAAAATTCCCACATGTTAAATCTTTCTATATGAATCACTTTGTACGTAAGTTTTTTGAAATTCTGTAAAAGTTTGCTGAAGTATAACAGAGAAATAAATTAACTGCCATCATTTGTTCGCTAGATCGATGATTACCTCTACTCTGAAACTGCCTTAAAAGTGCTTACATCTTTGACTAGTGAAATTATAGGATCATTATAGAATCATTCTTCGTACTGACCTTAATTATTAAATCTCTCTTCTTGCAGATGTTTTACACTGACACTATGGTGGTCAATTCAACTAATTTAAATACTAAATAAATAATATATTTGTAATATCTCAATGAGTAGAAAATTAAATTTTCTACTCATTGGGATATTACAAATATATTATTTAAGTATATTTATCTACCCAATGCTCAATTTATTTGAAATTATCAAATCAAACCTTGGTAATGATACCTATAATTTAAATACTATCTATCCAAATCAGTTGGCTGTAAAACAACCTAGCACATGTATGACAGAAGACCCATCACAGTAATTTTTGGAGTTGTTTTTCAGTGCTCTCTGTTGTCATTCTTTTCTCTGTAACAGTACTAGAATTTGCCTCGATACGAAATCCGTACTTCTTCAGGATGTCTTAATACTCCTTCCAAGAATTACTGGTTCTTGAATCCTGCCTCAGATTATTATAATCCCTGTGACAGATGTTCATATCTTTCCAAGCAATTTAATCCCACATATTTGTCCATTACGTGTAACATTCCTTTCTAAATCAATCTGATCATACTTGTAAACTGGCTAGCATTTTTAATTATTTCCAGAATATGATTTGTTTATTTATTATTATTTATTCTTTTTCATAAGTTTAACACGTGAATGAGAATTCGAGTGTTTGGGAACTGCAGTGGAAATATGGGAGTTACGATAATGTTTTTCGTATTACTGTTAAACATGATTTAAATTTTTCTATAACTTTCTCTATGCTTTTAAATTATATAGTCTATAAACTGGGAAATATATAGCCATTATTTAAAATAGGTAAGATTATGACTGTAAATTATAAACTTTAACAGAGAAGCATTAAACATCAAACAGAGATTAATTAGCAAACCGATTTTATTTTTATACTTACTTTACTATAAATAAAACCGTTTGGATGTAAAATTAAGAATTTTACTACTCATTTTGTAAATGGACCTAACTGAATGTTTAATTACAATTATCGACATCGAATATCGAATGTAAGAAGAAATCTTATCATAATAATACAACAATTTGATAAAAAGCAGATTTTGGAATATTTTTATGATTAATTAAATTAAATGGTACAGAGGTAAAATCCATATTTACCAAACATAACCATTACCCAGTTACATAAATTTACAAAGATAAATTGAAGAAATATTTCAAAATCATAGACAAAAACTAGGGTTTTATCTCAAGATAATTAGACAAACTTGTTTCTGAACAAAAATAACTTCTATCTAAATGAAATGTTTGCCTAAAAAAGATTTCTATTCCAAAAGAAATACAAAACTTAAGGATATCGGTTTTCTTTCATCGTCAATTTTAACTAAACTTCTGGTAGTGAAATTTAAAAAGAAATAAAGTGGTTTGTACTTTTCGGTAAAACAAATTATGAGTAACAATACTTAGAATTTTATCTTCAGAATTCTTAAAAACTCTGTTATACAGTGTTATTAGATGACCTATTGAAATTGTCCTAAAAACGATGTCCTAAAAAGAGAAATTAGAGTAATATATTTAGATAGATTTGAACAAGTGTTCAAACATTATTTTTTGTAATCGAAGACAACTAATATAATGTTTTATATATACGTTTCATAATTATTGAGATCAATGAAAAAAAACGAGTCATCTCAGTTTCAGGTAAACCCATATCCACTTTATAGTTTTAACTCGATTCAATTAATTCAATACACAATAGCCTCATTTCTACATTGCTCAATATTAAAGTTGTCTTTAAAATGAGCTTGAGTAAATCAGTCTACTACAATTTTATCAAGAGAAAGAATTATGGTCTGATGGTGATCACTGTCTAAAGCTTTATTTCAACTAAGTACGTGAATGAATATAAAGGTGAGTATATTTACTAGTAAAATTTCAAAATTTAAACGTCGAAACTTACGAGTACAGTTTTTAACCTGCTGAATTCCAAGAACACAATTAACTTGACTGATGCATAAACGGCATAAACAACTTCCCAGCAATTTTATTGAGATATTGTCACCAACATTTTCATTGACATCATCACTCGGTTGTTTGTGAATTGTTATAGGAACCGGATCACCTGTTTGTAGTGAAGCAATCCAATTGCAATCATACCACTTTGTCCATGAATTCTCTTTATCTTTGTCAAATGTAAAACTTTTTGTTGGACATTGACGATTACTTTGTTGTCTATGATCAATTGATGGTGAAAATGTATTTAAACGGTTAATTTGTACGGTAGACTCAAACAGATAACCACTTGAACATCTACCTTCGGACCAATTCCAACCACAGTGAGGATCTTTTGAGTTGAGACAGTCATCAAATGTTTGGTATTCAGAGCAACGTGTCAGTGGTAGACGAAATAATTGTTTATTTGTCATGATATGTAAATAGGAAGCCTAAATGAAGAAAAACAAGAAAACGTTCGCACACTTTTAATTAGATTGGTGTAATATTTTGCTCATTTATAATGAAACTATAACCTTGCGAAGACTGATATTATATATTTAATTAACATTTAAACTGTCACTTTGACATAGACTGTTTTAACCGTTATTGCTAAAAATTTATTTATCAAGTTCACTAAACATAAGACAGAGTCATTCTTTGAAGGATCGTCAAGAAATATTTAAATTCACAGGGTATTTTATATCTAAATTATATTAAACTTACTGTATTTTAGCTGATTTCAAAATGGCTGATGAAATTTAAGAGGAACTAGCTTGTCAAACAATAACAGCTCGTTTAAAGATCAAATTTTGAACTCATGAGAATAGAGAGAAGACGCTTATAAACTTTAATATTTATGAAGCCGATTACTTTTTAATGCTTTATGTCCACTCTTAGAAACTTAGAAACCGCAACTTTAGAGTTTACTAAATAATCACTGAAGAATGCAAAACTCAATAAAGTATATCGACTGAAATTGGTAAATGAAGTACTTCTGCTAAATTCTTAAGGATTCTTCTTTATAAGTTAATAAAGAGGATTTAACAAATCTTTTGGACTAGAAAACAAAAAGAAATCCGACTGAAGTATAACATAAAAAGACGAAAGTAATTCCATCATAGATTGATGTCATTTGAAGAACAATTGATAAGTAGGAGTACTAGGATCCAAATTTGTCCCATTTTAACATTTGTCACCAGCGTTCACCCCTGGTCTAACAGAAAATGTGTCCTTACAAGCTACTTATTTGGCTTGAAAAATGTATCTTTTGTTTTTCATAATAATTCACTTTATATTCTGATAATTATCAATTTGACCAGTAAAAGATTAGGGCTTTAGATTCTTAATATCTTGTCAAATAATTAAAATGCTAAATACAATTTAACAAACCATGAAGATAATGAAAACTGTGTTGGAGTTAATACAAAAAATCATATGAAGTCACTTAATACCAATCATGTTATAAACACTATAATGTTTACCATAACATGTGAATACATTCTACATAATATTAGCTCAGTTATTAGGTAGGTTAAATCTATTAATAAAAAATTTAATTTCGATTTTTGGTAATGATAAGTACAGAAAACTTATTAATTAAAAACAGTTCTTATTCAAGTGAATAGTTATCAAATATTACGTATAAAATAACAATATTGTGTATGCCACTGATATCGATAGATATAAGTAGTATGTATTATCAATGGAAAATGAAAAACCTGACAACAGAAGGTTAAGAAAATCGAAGAAAATAGAATTAGAACAGTGAATAATTGCTGTAGAAATAAAGGAACAGTAAAGTCTGACATGATTGATTAACATTTTACAAATGAAGTATTTACTGTATGGTTCTCAGATTTTGCGAAGATGTTCTGTAATTTAGTGTTCAAATATATTTGTTTGCCCCCATTTGTGTTCTCGTTCACTACAACAGTACCCAACAGTCAGGCAAACTAAAATATCATTTTTGTAAAGCAATCGACTGGTAATAAAAAAAATTGAAAATCAATACACATTTTTTTATGGAATACTTTAACAAAACATCAAGCTGTGCCAATATTCAACTTTTATCAAAGATTCTTTTCAAAAATTAAATTTACAACCAATTCTATGTTTAGATAAAGTAACAATATTTATTCAATTTATTAATTAAAACAACTAATAATTCTTATTTTGATTTATTTGACTTAATTAGTTTGTATTAAAAACCAAAAGTCTGATTGACACTTCGTCAGTCAGTCAGTCAATCAGTCAGTTACAACTGACTGTTTATTGAATTTTTTTTTCTAGTTTTCCCTTTTTTTGTTGTTTAGATAGAGAAAAAAAACCCACTTTCGTAAAAAAAATTTAAAAAAGATGGTTGTAATTTTTACACTATTTTGTTTATTGTAATCAGTAATAAATTTTAATTATACATAAATAGAACTTTTAGAAAAAAATTAATTATTTAATCAAGTAATTGTAACCAGATGCAGACTAGGCACTTGTACAGTGTTTTGTTTTCTTTCTATACGCACACAAAAAAATTCATAGATGATCAGATAACTTAAAATACAATGAATTACATTAGTTGCTTTGAGTTGATAAACATTTCTGATTTGATTTGTATGAAACATATTTCAGCTTTCAGCTTTTATCCTTTACAAATCCTCAAACTAAATAAAATTAAGATTGTCAGATTAAAAGGCATTTCTTAAAGTTTTTTTTGTTTTTTTTTTGTTTCTCTCAATTATTTATTACTAGAAGTTGTGTTTTGGATTTATCGTTGAAAATAAACAAAAAGAAAATTTTTCAAATTACTTGATGAAATACAACAAAAAGAAAGGAAAAATCTAACAAAAAAATTTGTTTACCTGTTTACATGTTTTTATTTATATTTCCTAATGTTTATGTAACAAAAACAATCAGTTAAAAGAAAGTAAACAACTTTGTGTCTAATTGATTTAACATTGTGATAATATAAAGAGCGAATCAAGTAATTTCTTATTTAAAAGGATACCAGTAAGAGTTACAATATTTTGTAACTTTTATATAAGATCTAATGATTCAATTATGGTTTTACTACTTACTTTCTTTGATCAAGGAAAAAATGTAGCTCATTATATTTTATTGCTTTTCGCTGTGTCTGGTACGGTGAAAGGTGGGGACAGTCAGCTCTCTCTTCCCCTCTCTCTCTCGAAGTGCTCACACATGGACACACGCATACAGACACTACTAGGGAAGTCCTACTTACTGCCTTCTTGTGGCGGACTAATTGTTTAGGAAATTGAGAGGATGGAAACCGAATGTCCGGCGTATTAACCCAGTTGGTGAAACCAGAGGGTTTACCTAGGGTATTTGTAAAACCCTGATTACAAACCAATGGTGCATATGGGCTTCAGTATCTTGAGAGAACAATAGGCGTATGAACCATGGGAGCGCATCTCCTGACGTTGCTCCACTGCTTTGTGGATCAAGCCTTTAGATCAATGGCTCCGGGTGTGGCCCTCGGCTCAGGCACCCGGGAAGTATCACAGCCCACACAAATAAAGTGAGTTGCGTAGTGCATATGTATTCGGTGCCTCTTTGTACCAATATTTATGTGTTCAAATATTAATAATAATAAATGATATTCTGTAAGATTTTTAGTTGAATGATAATATTACTGTGAAGAACAATTCATCCCCCTATGTAGAAGTATATTCAAAATTAAAATTATATGTAATAAATTCCGGTGATGCATCATTGACAATATTGAAATTATGTTTCTAAAAAGAAAGTGAAGTTCAGAGTACAATAAGCTTTCAATGACATTAACAAAACTCTTTTACATATTCTGTTTCTTCAGCGTTTAGTGATTTTTCATCTGATCTCATAAATAAACAAGTAGTTGATTTTCATTGAAATTTTTGATTTTGTTATCAACAATATTTAGCATATTATTAAAACTAGATAAACACATTGTCCTTTTTTAACAATTAAAGTATGTTTCATAGTGAGTCACTTGATAAATCGCCTCAGTTGTTCGGGATGGATAGTTATAAAATAAAAAGGATCGGTAACACTAGGTATATATACTGTTATCGCCAATTCTAGCTTTTATTATCCTTACTTAAATTTAAGACTTAGATTTTAATCTAAATTTATGATGTCAATAGTGTTCCTGTGGTGAATGCTACTTGTGTTGACAGATATAAGTAGTATGTGACACCAACCAAAAGTCAAATGGCTGGCAGTAAAAGACTAAGAAAATAGAATTGAAGAAAACAGAAAGTAAAATGAAAAGGTACTGTGGATTGAAAGAATCATTTACAAATGAAGCATTTAATGTATGGTTTTCATATTTTACCAAGATATTTTGTAATTTTGTATGGGACAATAAACTGGTTGTCTCCACCTGAGTGTTCGTTTATTACATACCGTCCATACAAAATTTTTATTAAAGATTATAAACTAATACCCTGAATGAAAGCTTGTTCTGGTCAGGATTCAAGTAAACTCTGTCAATATTTAATGCAGTCAGTTTCATTTCTTTAAAAGTATTGATCAACTTTGAGTAGTCGGTACAACAGTAATAGGAGCAGTTTTATTAATTTGTTTACAATTTCTAATGCTTTCTATCTTTTAAGCTTATAATTTAACTTGTTATTCAACTATAATAACAATAATATTAATAATAATAATAAAGTAAGCTTTCACTGCAAAACGAATCTCTTTGTTAGAGACTACTGATCCGATTAAAATTATTTCCTACTTTTCATTTAGCCTAGAACACCTATTTTAAATGCACAATATAGATATTCAGACATTTACTAAAACACTGAAAGATTTCTATCAGAATATGCTTAGCAGTATGGCTATGAAAAGTTTTACAAGTTATGAATAGGCGAATAAATGGATTTAAGAGATTTTAGGAGATATTCACTGATGAATCAGTATATATATATATAATTGATTTATGGTATTTTGATATTGTCCTAACTGTAAACGTTTGTTTAATCCATTAACTGTTGTCAATAATTTTTCCAAGAACAAATTCTTGTTAATTAGTTATAAACTTGTGTTACATAGTCTTAATCATGCATATATTATAATTTATTACTTTTATGGTCAACTATAAGCTTATATTGCATGTTTGTAATCCCATAAGTTTTAAGTTTAACAAAATATAGAAAACTGTCAAGTGCTTGTCCATTTGTTTTTAACTTTCTTATTGGTAAAAAGTAAGTTCATCAAGTTTTGTTGTACGAGGCTGAAACTTGAAAAACTATTACAACGATCACTAAAAATAGTACAAGTATTTATAAACAATTGTCTACGAAAGATACTCAATGTCTGCTGGTCGGATAGCATCAGCAACAGTCTACTGTAGGAGAGAACAAACCAGCTCCAAGATATTAGGAAAAGACACTGGATGTGTATAGGGCATAATAGGGCAAGCGCTTACTTGTAATTTTGAACGATAACGGAA